TTCTCGACTAATTTTCGTAGCGACTATATTTCCTAGCGGCCATATTTCGTGGCGACCATTTTTCGTAGCGGCCATATTTCGTGGGGACCAATTCACCGCGACCAATTTTCGCTCGACCTTTTTTCTTTCGACCATTTTTCGTATTATACTTTCTCCTCTCCGACTCTTTAGTAAGATCCAGATACTCTTTATTTTGATTAAAAATTGCTTTTATTCTGTCTAATTGTACTTGTTTCGACATAATACGTATACCATTATATGATGATGGTAGTTTATCTTTGTAGTATGCATTATTTATAGTTATGAATGTTTGGTCAATTGTACCGCTATCTTCTCTCGACGTCAAATCATTAAATATTAAATTATAACTTGTTTTCTTATCCATTTTAATCTCCAATTTATTCTTGCTGGTTCTTTCAAGCTCATAATAAAACTTAATTGTTTCTAATACATTGCTATTAGATTGTTGTTTAATTTTAATCAAGTCAATAAGTCTTAATGATTTCTTAATTGCAGCGATATTACTTTTACAGCGAATACTATTCAAATATGTACCTAAAATGGTCACTTTCGTGGTATGCTGTGTATATAATTCACTATTGGTAAATGTTGGTTGTTTTTGTTCTAAAAGTAATTGCATTGAATTTAACATTCTCATTTCATTTGATAATATTTTCAATGATTTATTAAATAATTCAAGTGCTTTCTTTTTATAATCCTTATCTTGAGTTATAAGTGAACACCAGGCTATACCTAAATGTACTGCACCAGAAACTGCTTCATCCAACTTAACAGCTTTCTCAAAATAGCTCAATGCACGTTTAACTTTTGAAGAGTCACGTATTGATCATTAATTTACAATAATATCATTTGCCATCACTGTATAGTAATGTGAATTTTTAATAATTTTCTCTTCTTTGTAATCTTTTCTCAATGTATCGATCAATTTTTTACACTCTACTTCTGCATTATCTAATCGTATAGTGTTATCATCCAATTTTCCTAAGAATACTGCCCATTGTTCTTCAACAGCTGCAATCAAATTAGCCTCGTACACAGTGAGTCTGGTCTCATAGCCCGAACGGGATATGGTATACTGAAGGCACATCAAGACACGGTGTTTTTTGTTTTTGGATGTGGGAGTGCGAGTTCATTTTTGAAGAAAACCAGGTTTATCCATACCAAGGTTACAGAGCATTTTCA